ACCACCACCAGTAGGCAACGGGTGAAGTGTCTTGCCCAAGGACACAACGACCGAGACTGTCCAAGCCGGGGCTCGAACCGGCAACCTTCCAAGGCGAACTCCCAACTCTTGAGCCACGAAAAGATGAGACCTTGTGGAGAAAAACTTGGCTGTTCTTTGGTTCTTGTTTTGACTTCTTCTCCTCCTATATGAGGTTTTGTCTGAATGGTGACACCTGTTGTTCAGGAGAATATTGCAGCAGGTATCTGCACTGTAACAGGGACCATAAATGGAAGAGGCTGTGTGATAATGTTACCAACAGTGCACCGATGTGGCGAGTATACTGGGGCCAAAACCATGTGGCAGGGCCAACCTGGCTCACTGGCAGAGTTGGTTTTGTGGCTCTCCTTGACACCATTCAGCTGTCCAACAGAAAGTTCCTGGCCCAGCAGTCTTAGTTTGCCACTGAAAGCAGTATTCCTTGCTGTTTTTTGGAAGTCTGCTATAAGCTGCAGAGCCACACTAAATAATATCCCCATGGAGCGAAGCAAACATTCAGGACCACCTAAAAGTAATGCTGTCATGTTCATCACCACCACCTAATGTGACCTGAAAAAACAGAACTATCACAAAACCTGGGAATTTTTGACAGTGTCAAATTTGTGTCAGAGCTGTCGTATTATATTTGATTTCAGTGGTGTACTTAATGAAGCTGAACATGAGAGTGATCAGATTTGTGGGATTGTATTACACAAAGTGGTTAACAACTTACCATGAAACCCACACCACACCACCATCTGTTCTGCTGTGTTGTTACATGTGCTGTGCTGAGAGCTGACTCTGTAAGAGAATCTGTGTGATGACACCATGTCTAGACTCTTCCAAGCATCTTATTCAGCAATTTCCAACACAACAAAGAAAGGCTTTTATATCAGCTGACACGTCATCCAGTATCTATATTAGATCAACATCCACCGGCTGATCTGTTTGTCTGGCGCTTAGCGGAAGACCAGCACGTCATTGCTAAATGCTGCTCTTAATGTTGGATGATGGTACCGTGGTTAGCACTTTGGCTTCACAACAAGGTTTCCGAATCATGGTGAGGTGGAGTTTGCGTGTTCTCCCTGTGTTTGCGAGAGTTCTCTGGCTTTTACCCACAATCCAAAGACACATGTTAGGTTGTGTGATTATATGGGTAAATGTGGCTTGTAGTCTAAAACAGCGGTCCCCAACCTTTTTTGTGCCACGACCGGTTTATGTCCAACAATATTTTCACTGACCTTTAAGGTGCCGCAACAAAATAAAACCAGTACCGGTAGCAAAAAAAGAAGATTTATTCATAACACATGGGGAAAAGACCCAGGAAAGCCGAGTTGACGATAAAAACCCTAAAACCCATCAATTTCACAACTCTCACGGCCCGGTTCCAAACGACTCACGGGCCAGTACCGGTCCGTGGCCCGGGGGTTGGGGACTGCTGGTTTAAAATGCTTGGAGTGGTTAGACTGGAAAAGTGTTGTATAAATGCCAGTCCCTTTGCACAAACTGTTTGAATTTAAAGGCGCCTTTAAAAACAAAAATGTAGATATACTTTATTTGCTTATAACTGTGTGTTTTACTTAAGAATATGGGTGGTTAAATGAAAAGAAAGAAGCTTCCAGAAAATGACTGCTGTACCACAAGTTGTTGCTGCTGTTGTTGTTGCAGGCGGTGCACAGCAGGGGGCAGCACAGCATCTCTTTCACCCTCTCCCGAAACCAGACCGTGGTGGTGGAGTACTGCCATGACAACAACACAGACATGTTCCAGGTAACACAGCAAGCAAACAAAGTCAACTTTTATTTTCTTTTATTGAGTGATGAGAGGATTCACAGCAAAATGTACTCCAAGAACTGCGATCATGTGCAAGTTTCCAACTGTTATGCAATCCCATCAAAGTCATTTTTACAGGAGGGTAGATTATTTTGGTTCAGAACTGGGACCATTAAGTGTTAAAAATAAAGAGTTTTACGTCATAGCTCCAAGAAAGTCTATTTTTATGCACACGCTTGTGCTTTTCTATTGCTCTTACAGATTTTTTTAAAACATAAAAATGAACCATCTTGCCCAGATAGCTCAAAGCCATAAAATTATGAGCACTGATGCTTTAAAAGAAATAGCTCTGCTTACCAATAACATGTTAATGAGACATTTGTTTCAGTTAATAAATAGTATTTTTTCTGTGCTGTCCCCTGCAGATTGGACGCTCCACAGAGAGTCCTATTGACTTTGTGGTAACAGACACCTCTGGAGGAAAGGAAGGCGAAGATCCTTCCATTGCTCCCAGCACCATTTCCCGTTTTGCCTGCAGAATAGTGTGCGAGCGCAACCCGCCTTACACTGCACGCATCTATGCTGCAGGCTTTGACTCCTCCAAAAATATTTTCTTAGGGGTGAGTAGACTCATACTCTAGCAACAGGTTTCTAATAACAGAATATTTTAGATTTTAAGTAATTGAAAAATCTAACTGAGTCCCAGTTTCTTGTCTACTGTACACATCCTGCTTAACTTTCCATTAAACGATTTGATAAAAATTGCAGTGTTTGACTAGCTTTCACTCATTTTCAGTCCATTCCTTGTACCTGACCATTTTGAGAGTGTTGCTTTGTATGTTACGCCACTTAACACTGATCTATGAATCATTCAAGCATAGAAAAGTACCTAGCTCAAGGGATGAGTGCGTTGTCCATGTGTTTCCATGTGTATTTGCACATCTCAATAAATTGCTGCACCCATTTTCCTTGCAAAATGTTGCGGTGGCCAAAGACTTTTGCACAGTGCTGTGGGACTTCTGTTGTAGAAAGTGATGCACTGAACTAACTGCAAAGTCTTTTTTCCCTGTGTTTTAAGACGAGAGCAGCACTCTTCATGCTGGGAATAACAGTATGATTGACACAATAAAAATACTTTCTGAAACATATCAATATTACGTTTTAATGTCTTTGCTGCCACAGGAGAAAGCAACCAAATGGAAAAATCCTGATGGGCATATGGATGGCCTCACCACTAATGGGGTGCTAGTGATGCACCCACAGGGCTTCCCAGAGGATCCCAAGCAAGGCCTGTGGAGGGAGATCTCCGTCTGTGGGGATGTTTATGCGCTGCGGGAGACACGGTCTGGACCCAGCAGGGGGACGCTGGTGAGTTGCCGCAGGTTTGGTTACTATATCTACATTTCTTCAGTGAACTTTTGGGGTCTGTATTTGCATTTTATTGTACACAAATATCTGTCTGTGCGTCACTTCAGGCGGAGGGGGAGAGCAGCGCGCTACGTGACGGGTCGCTCGTCGATCTCTGTGGTGCTACTCTACTGTGGCGCACCGGTGAGGGGCTCATGCGTTCTCCCACTCTGCGTCACCTGGAGGCGCTTCGTCAGGAGCTTAACGCATCCCGGCCCCAGTGTCCCGTCGGCCTCAGCACACTGGCGTTCCCCAGCCTTCCACGCAGTCATAGGTCAGGGCCACACTGATGGTTAAATTAAGGTCTTGTTATTTATTTAAAAACTGATTGTTTCCAGTTACTAATTTTAGGAGAAAATTCTTCACAGGTTTTTCTATTTTGTTACACACGCATGCATAAAAAAATTTTCTTTAAAATATTGGTACACTTTATCTAACTTCAGCCTTGAAGAGCGTCAACCCTGGGTCTACCTCGCCTGTGGCCACGTCCACGGACGCCACGATTGGGGCCAGAGATCGGAGAGAGAGGAAGATCCAGGAGAGGGTGAAGGCTCCACCACCCGGCGAGAATGTCCCCTGTGCAGGAGCGTGGGTCCCTACGTGCCGCTGTGGCTGGGCTCTGAGCCTGCGGTGTACGTGGATGCCGGATCCCCCACTCACGGTTTTGTGCCATGTGGCCACGTCTGCTCAGAGAGGACAGCCAAGTATTGGGCTGAGACTCCTCTGCCCCATGGGACGCATGCCTTCAGACCCGTCTGCCCCTTCTGCTCCAGTGCCCTGAGCTCCCCCGGCTGGACACGGCTCATCTTCCAGGGCCCCATCGACTAATCACCACTCTTCAGCAACAACCACAACAGCAGGAAGCTACCTGAGCTGCGTTCATGCGTTCAAATGTTGATCAGTTTGATAAGCGTGTGTGTTTCGTACAATAACACTCTCTGTTACTGAATGTAGCTCAGTGCTGACAAATCCTTCCCTTTGTTTATCCTTTAGGGCTTGCTGATTAGTGTAAGATCAAGAAAATAGGACAGAATTATCAGTGCTGTCAATTCAAAGTGTTTTCTAAATTTTAAACTGTTTCCCGCCCCCCTTGTTGCGGGGTTCGGGGGGTTTTAATTCCAGCTAAGTACAGTGGCAGTTGATTTCAGTCATTACTCGTCTTTCAGCGAGACACAGCTCTCGGAAGTGATGCTGCACGTGCACAGCTTAAACTATGATGCTGCATTTTAACTACATTATCAAATGACAGCCACATGACTTTTGTCAGGCTTCAACACCATGCATTGTATAAAATGCAAGTAACTTTTGCACTTATGAACAGAATGGCCATTTTCTCATCTTCTACCCTTTCACATGAAGCGTAACCACTTCTGCTGCTGTGGAATATATATATATATATATATATATATATATGACTTTCATCACAAAAAAACTTAATGCTTCTGACATCAGGATTATAATTAATGGTTTTCCTTCCTGAACTAGCAACCGTTTTATATTTCTAGCTGTGTTCTCAGTGGGCTTTGTTAACTGCGGATGGTGAACGTACTAGATTATAATGTGGGATCAGTGGCTCATGCTTCCATACAGCATTTAACACTCTTCCTGATCCATGAAGGAAAACTTCACAACTTTTTCTGAAATTAAGGAATTAGGAGCATATGTTGTTGGAGTCCTTTACATATCACTGTAGAGTAAGATCTATGCACAGACTGCCCATTAATGACAGAGCCCTATGTGTTGTAATTCTTTGGACAGTAACCTGCAGATTGTTTGATTAGCTCCGAAGGACCAGAGGGAACACTGCAGTACTTTTACAGCAGATCTTTTCCTAATTATGAAGCAGAGTAAGGATAAACAAAGGCTTGGAATGAAAACCGGGTATGAACTCCACTTCCCAACTCTGAAGCAATAATAGCACTCCCATAGATAAGCTAGATGTTATGCTATGTTTAGCCAAGTGTTAGGTCAGCAGTCCAATTCAAATGTGGCTGAAATGGTTTCCAGGTAAAGGGCTCAACCAGAGGCGTGTTCAATCCCGTGACTTATTTCCAAATTGGGGGTCATAGACCAGAGAAGATGAGTGATACCACAAGCTGCAGATTTGAAAGACTTAATGCCTGATCCATATTTAATTACTAATTCTATCATTTCTTTACTGTGCTGGTAATGCTGCAAAACTATCCAGCTTGTTCTTTGTTCATTTGAACACACTTCTGGTTTCTGAATTATGTTAAACAGGGTGTATGGTGGTGTGATGGAGTGTCAGTAGGCTTGACCTTGTGTAACCTCAAAACATTTTTTTTGGGTTATTGTTTCAAAGAAAACTATTTTGTTAGGAAACGGGGAGGGCTTTATTTGGGGATGCGGGAGGAATTCTTTTAGATGTTCAGTGTTTAAAAAAATTATACAGCAACTATTTTTCTATCTGACAATTGGTTTTAGTTAACTGTTGTTACTCAGTGTACGCAAGTTGTGTATGTTACGAGATATAATCGTGCGGTAGATGTAGGGGAGCTCGTGAGTGAGAAAACATTGCCAACACTGTGTCTGACGAACACACACTTTCACACACACTCTGCTACCGTAAAACATTGCCCAGACAATGAATGTAGCCAAAATACTTTGGGCTATATTTAGCCTTCCCTGGTGCTCATATTGAATGGTCTATATTGTGATACTATTTTTGTAACTGAATATTAGGTGTAGCTTGGTGAACTAGCTCAACAAGTAAATTCAATAATAGCCTCAAGTATGAAAGACATAACTGATTTAAAAAAACAGGAAAAAAAAGAAAGAAATACACTCACGTGAAAAAATTGTCTAGCTTGCATGTGCTGAACGTACACATACAGTATGTACACTACACGTACACGTACTCGAAAACTTTGCACGGTGGAGCGCCAACTTGCAATTCATGCTGAGAACGTTTGAGCTGTCTTCCGAGTCCTTCGTTGGTTAAAAACTGCAGCATTTCTGTTTTGTTTTTGTTGTTTTTTGGGGGAGGGGGGGCTTTAAAGCAAGAGGAAAAAAAGAACGAGCGCCTAAATAGATCCTCATACTTGATAGATCCACGATCTTTGTGAATGAGATCTCTTGAATCCCCTTTGTACTACTATGCTAATATTTTCCACCAAACCAATTCATCACAGAAAGACGTTCACATCAACACTTGTTTACATTTTGTATTTGGACCCGTCATGGAGCATTTAAAGCTAATGAAAGACAGCATGTTTTCCATTTGAAGGGGACCTCTTATGCTTCTTCAGTAGCTTTGCATGGTTCACAGTTCAGAATAATCCTTCTTTACCTTGACAGCCCACTCAGTTCATTTATTGTGTGAATAAAAGCCATTTTGGCTCCCCGCCCATGCTTTTAACTTTATTCTGATTGGCTGCCCCTCACTCAAAGACTGTTTAAACAGAGGGTGGGTGGGGCTTCTGGTCTCATTGCTAGAGATGAATTCCTGAGTTGACCGTAATCATATGGGCGCAGAAGTGGAACAAAACAGAGCCTTTTGGGTGGTTTGAAGCTTAACCTCGTTATTTGAAAAGTCGACCATTATTAATATCAACATCCAATTTTGTATAAGCATGTGTATGACAGAACATGAGGAAAGGCTTAATAGGTCTCCTTTAAAGTCTAAATATAAGATTTGTAGTGTGGTGGATGAGGGTTGTGTTACTGTTGCTCAAGATTAAGGATTTTAGAGGCACAGCTGAAAGATGCCTGATAAAAGGCACTTTGAGTGAAAAGAAGTTCCAGATTAAGGCGTTCGATGTGAGAGCGGCCACATCTTATGTCCAAATTCTAGAGGGCAAACAGTCGGGTAGATCACCACAGGTCAACCACTTACGGGTGTCATGAAACAGGAAATGAAATCATGTGTATTAGCTGGCCTTTGCAAATCACACCAAATCCAGTGAATCTTGCTTTTGACAAAATATATATATA